TAGAAGAGGGACCTTGCAGACAGCCAATCACTGCAATGCATTAGCAAATACCATTGCAGCTTGCAACTTTTTGCATGGCTGTTGCTGCTGCTGGAGTCATTTGTTGGCGTCCAAGTACTAGCTTGCTCCTTTCCCAGGGGAGGAGCACTGGCCAATAGGATTTGGCATACTGCTCTCTGGCCTATCACAGAAGTTTGTTCCTTTTTGAAATCCTTCTGTGTATGCCCAGATAGCTGGCTGACTCCCATCCTGGTACTGAGCGAGATCCTTCTGGGTTGGAGATTGTGTGGCTGGCTTCTGCTTCAGCCAGTGCTCTGAGTATGCTTTCCTTCTGCTGCTGACTTTGAATAGTTCAGATCAAGACAACAGAAGAAGACTGAAGAGAAGAAGACATCACTGGTTTGACTTGTATTAGAGCCACTTAAAAAAAACTTTTCTTATTTTGTTGTGGGTTGGTGGGTTTGGGGCCTAGGGTTGGTGTGGTGGTGGTGGGTAGCCTTCAAGGGCCCCTCAGGCCTCTCTTTCTGGTTGTTTCTGGTTCATCTGGTTTGTGCTTTTGTACCTGTTCAAGCTTTTAACATTGTTTTTTTTCCCCCTGTGAGTTATATTTCTGGGATTATTCATTTGTAGTTGGCTTGGCATCTAGCAGTTCTAAGGAATTTCCAAGGGAGGTAGTGGGGGTGGTTGTGTCAGTGGGGGTATTAGGCTAAGAGTGCCAAAGGGGTCATTTTTTGGTGTTTTGGGCATCACTGCTCTCTGTGTGCTTCTGGTTTAGCTTAGCTGCTGCACCATTATTAAATAAGGTTTTTTATAAAAGTTTCAGGAATTTTTAACTAATACTTTAAAATAAACCTCAGCATAGGGCTTTAGCTGTTCTACCTTTAACTAGGCCAGTGCTGGGAGGACTAAAAGAGGCCAGGTTTGTCTTCAGCTCATAAATTAGTAGCATATATTAACTTTTCAAAAAGTAGCGTGCTGTTTGTGCTCTGATTGAACTTTGGTGAAGCCAGACACTTTTTTTTAGAGAAATTTTCCCCCTTTAGCTTGTGTATTTTCAATTAGGGAGCACCTGCATTTCTCCACAGGAAATCAGGCTGGTTCCAGTAGAATCTAGGTAGTAGTAGTTTGCTTAAAGACCTTAAAACTTTTTAAAAGGTTTCCAAGCCACATCTCAAGGATAGTCAGTGTAGGAATTCACCACTAGTTCTAAAAAACAAACCAAGAAAAAAAAACCCAAACTGAAGCAAGGCTAGGTTATGCTCTACTGAAAGAAACAAACACCTAGTTTTTGGGTGGGAGGGTTTATAAAAAGGTGGGTGGTGTGAGGCTGTTTTAGGGTCAGGTAGTAGTGTACTTTGCCAGGGCACTGACAGCCTGGCAAACATGCTCCCTCAGTTTATGCTGCAGAGATTCTCTGATTTGACCTGAGTTCTGTTGGGTTTGGGCACTGACTGCCACAGTGGCACTGGTTCTGGGGCACACACTGCACAGGTTCTGCTGCTGGCCTGGATGACACAAAAGTTGTTCAGGATGGTGAGAACCAGGGAGGATTGTGAGGCACTCCAAAGGGGCACGCAAAGAGGGTGGTCCCAATCCTCCATTGTTTCCTATGGGGATGGGGAAAAGGCAGGCAGCAGTGTCTCCCCAAGAATCTCTCTGCAAAGAAAGTGAGTGAGGTGTGGTGGTGTGAGGGGGCATGTTAACATAAGAACAGAAGAGAAGCCAATGTTGGATCAGGTCAATGGCCCATCCAGTCCAACACTCTGTCACACAGTGGCCAAAAATACCAGGTGCCATCAGGAGGTCCAGCAGTGAGGCCAGGACACTAGAAGCCCTCCCACTGTTGCCCCCCCCCCCAAGCACCAAGAATACAGAGCATCACTTGCCCCAGACTGAGAGTTCCTATCTATATCTTGTGGCTAATAGCCACTGATGGACCTCTGCTCCATATCTATATATCAAATAGCCTCTATTTGCGGATACTTATTTCCACCAACAGGGGGCTCACTCTCCCCCGACAGCTTTTCCTACATAGTCAGGAGACTTTCTGGGTTTGCAGAAAAGTCCAAAAAGTAAAAAAAAAAATCCCTTCAGGGATGGTTGAATTCCCCTCAATACCTTTTGAAATGGCCTTCGCAGGGATCTATTGGGTCCCCCTTGTCCACATGTTTGTTCACCCCCTCAAAGAACACTAACAGGTTAGTGAGACAAGATCTTCCCTTACAGAACCCATGCTGAGTCTGCCTCAATCATTTTTATTCATCGGTGTGCCTACTAATTCTTTCCTTAATAACAGTTTCCACCAATTTACCTGATATCGACGTCAGACTGACTGGCCTGTAATTTGCCGGATTTCCTCTGGAACCCTTTTTAAAGATGGGAGTGACATTAGCTACCTTCCAGTCCTCAGGAATGGAGGCAGATATCAATGAAATTTTAATGAGACTGTCTGAAAGTTCTGTTGTTGATCCATTCACAAATTCAAGTCATTAGGCTGTTTCAGTCATCAAGGGTGGGACAGCCCCTTGTTTTAGAGTTATGCCCAAAGATGGAATCCCCTGAAGCTTACAGTAGAAAAGAGCAAGAGTCCAGTAGCATCTTAAAGACTAACAGTTACTAACAGAGGCAGATACTGAAGAGGTGAGCAGTGACTCACGAAAGGTCCTCCCCTGCCACATATTTTGTTAGTCTTTAAGGTGCTACTGAACTCTTGTTCTTTTCTACTGCTACAGACAAACATGGCTACCCATCTTGATCTATATTCACTGAAGATTACAGTCCCACCTATAATGAGCAGGGATTAATAGTTTTGGAGGTGACCTGCACCCACTCAAGGAAGCTGACCTGTTATCTTACATCTTCCAAAATTATTCTATCCATACCAGTAGACCACGGTTGTGAATATCTAAAGGCATAGGAAAGCCAAAACAGCAGCAGAGGAACTAACTCTTAAGGCTCAGGAGTGTACACGAACACACAAAGCTTCCTTATATACGGAGTCAGTATATATCAAGGTCAGTATTGCCGGCTCTGACTGGCAGCAACTCTCCAGGAACTCAGGCAGAAGTCTCCCTCATGACCTCCTATCTGGACCTTTTAAGTGGAGACAGAGCGAGTTGAACCTGGGAGGATCTGCTACATGCACAGATGATGCTCTACCACTGAGTCATGGGCCCTGCCCCAACATACCAACTGCACTGGTATCTCACTCGGAAAGGCTTCTAGACATCTCCAAAATGCAGCATGTTCAGCACAAAAGAGCGCAAATGCTATATTGCGCTTCTTTAGGAAAGACAGAGCCCAGTATGTCCCGGCAGCTCTTAAATTATTCTTGAGCAAAGCCCTCCCACAAATGATATATGGGACACAAATACTAGCAGAGAGTACATTTAAGGATTTAGAGCTAGTACAATCGAAATTTCTTAGAGCACTTTTCAACGCCCCTAATGGCACTGCAAATTTGAGCTTAAGACAAGAAGCAGGTTTATCTACTGTATCATTGAACGTTTGGATACGGAGGAGTAATTATTGGGTTAAGTCCCATCTGAATCCGGTGGGACTTATTCCAGATCTTTTGTCATCAACACTATATCCCCAATGGGCTCTTAGAGTAGTAGATAAATTGAAACTAATTGGATTAGATCTTGAAAATTTGTTAGAAGGAGGTCTGCAGTATGCAAAGAACCTAATATATCAAAGACTTAAAGATATTGAAGCACAAAACGACTATGCAGCCCTGCCTTCCTATTATAAGAGATTAAAGATGGGACCAGGTTTAAATGTTGCATCTTACCTTGGGCTCATAAAAAACCCTAACCATAGATAGGCATTTACTAGAGCACGGCTCGCG